TAAGATTTTGTATTAATTATTTAAGTCAAGTTATTCATAATAGCATAGGGATATAGACCAAACTCAAAACTTGCACCGATGTGAGGCTTAAGTTGTGAACAAAGGGATCTAGCGTGACTCAAAGTAATCTGGCGTGATTCAAAAGTCACGAATCATGCCAGATTCCTTTGTTCACCACTTAAGCCTCACATCCGTGCGAGTTTTGAATTTGGTCTATTTGTAATCGATAACTTTATTTTTCTACTAATTCTARATATTTCTTAATTTCTTAGTATAGTTGTTGTAAAGCGATTTGCGCATCTGATGTAAAAGCGCTATAGAAATGAAGATATTATTATATTAAACCTTCATCCAAATCGCGCAACGCTGAACATTGCATTACAAACTTAAAGGCCATCATTTTCATTTTTCAGGCTCCTGTCATTCGACTCAATAACTTATTTGTTCGCGAAGTAGCCACAGACACCAAAGCTATCTTTTTAGTGAGTACCTCTAAAGATGGACCAGAGATGTATGAGATGGTGTGCAATACAGCTTCGGAGAAACGAACGTAAGGCCTTATTTTAGTCAGCCAACTTTGATTGTTATACATTGTACTCACTATCTGAATTCTCATTGGTCAAGAACCTACAGATAATTCTAACTATCAGCTTGTGCTAGCGATTTTTCAGCGGTCAATAGCCATAAAATTTTTCAGGTGTTCAAGGGGGGATGGTAAATTATTTTTGTAATGGTAGGGGGGATGCTAATTTTTCTGTCAACAACAAATAACTATTAACTAACAAATAAAAGTCAACAAGAAATTTAATGAACAGGATAATTGTACACCACTATTTAAATAACATTGTAATCTTGATCATCATCATCATCTTCAGTCTTATCACTATTGTAATAATCATTATCATGTAAAGGAAACACGTTATAGATATAACTTCGCCCCCGAAATTATTCAAAAATTATTCAACATCCGTAAACTATGTTCCTCCCTTGTAAGAGTCTTGATACGTGTTTCCTTTACATGCCCTACTTCCTATATGTAGATAAGTATAGTTAGTCTTTAAATAAAGGACTTTAAACTTTTATTGTAAAACTTCCTGAAGAAGTGTACAGAGTTAGATGAAACGCGTAGGAGACATAAAATAAAAAGATTTACAACCTAGCATCCTAAGTGCTGCTCACTGGTTCCTTTCAAAAAAGTTTCAAAAGTTTTAAYAAAAATAGACGTCAGTGAGGAGGAAATGGAAACCGATATTCCTCATCCAGTTCAGTATGTATCGCGATCAGGAAGACAGTCTATAGCAAGCTCTCGTTACCAGTCA